ATTGATGGGGAATTTGTTGAATAAAACATTGTGAAGCCAATAAATGTGAAAACCAAATTTTCTAGATTATTTAATTTAAGTGGTTTAAAATTTTTAAAGATAAAATCCGAGGGATAAATTTATTGTAATAGGCGAAAAAGTACATAACAATTTTTATTGAAATAGACTCATAGCAAATACTCATAATTTGCAAGTATGAAGCTTTCAAAGGCGTGTTATTTCCCTTCTCGGAATAGTATAAATTTTTGGTTTGTTTTCATTAAAAGTATTTAATTGACGAATACATTCGTTATAGTTGGCCTTCTAAGCTTCAGTAATTTGCTCTGTTTGTTGTCTTGTACGTTTGTTAATTTATTATTCTATATTTTCGTAAATTTGATTTAAAAATTTCTTTAATAAAAGAATATTTTTTACGAAATTTTTGTGAGAATATTTTAAAATTATTGTCTCTAAGGATAACCGAACATTTTTGTTTTTGGCAAAACAACATTCATACACACTGATGTAGAACAGTCGTGTACAAATTTGATGTTCAATAAATTTTAATTTTTCCTTATGTAAATATTTAACAGTTTAATTCCAAATTAATTGGGGTCAGTATTCGCCCATAATATTTGAGTATATTCAGTGAATTAACCGAAATCAAATAATGAAAGAAAGCACAATAATTCAATTATAGTTTTCTAAATAAAATTTAAATGTTTATTGTTATTCTTTTCTTCGATCAAAATAAAATGCGGAAACTTTAAAAAAATTCAATTTTATAATAAAACTAAAACAATGAGAAATAAACCGTACCTACCAAATTATTAAAAAATTTTTTATGGATTTATGAATCTATTTAAATTTTTCCCAAAAAAAATTTTTTTTGAAGATTTCAATTTCAAGAGAGTAAAAGTTCAAGTTATCTGTCTCTACGTTTCTATTTGAAAATATTTTCAAATAGAGATGTTTTTACACCCTACACTTTATAGTGAAGGTTATTTTTACTATAGAATGGAGTTTACAAACACTTAAAGAAGTTGTTTGTATAGTATGAAGATGTGAATATATTTTCGCTCAGGGTAAAATTTTAAGTTGATTTATGCATGTCCACTCATCTGCTCCTCCGCCTGCTCGGACGATAACTTTAAAACGAAAAAAATTAACATTTCCAAAAATTTTGTATTTGTTTCTTTTCGGTCAAGGACACCTGCTATTGTAACTAACTACAATAAAAAGTTCGGACAGCTGCCATAAAGCTAGAGCTAATTTTAAAAATTTGAAAAATTAATAAGTCTATCTACAGGAAAATTGGAAGTAATTTGCCCAATTATAACTAAGATGGTTTTGTGGAATAACTTGGAATTTGGCACTAATTTTCCCAATTACAACTAAGATATTTTTGTGAAATGACTTGTCAGGTTCCAGTAACTGCCATATAAACCTGAAACTAGGAAATTATCATGGTTCGGTTCGGGTGCTGGGTATAATACAACCGGTTAAGGTCGAGTGAAACGTTTCTACTTGTTTTTTTTTTTTGTAAATAATGCGTGCACGAATAAATAAAAATGGGAAGATGAAGAGATTATCATCAAATATGAAGATATTAAAATTTTAGAGAGATTAATAACAAACAGTTATTTCCATTTTTCTAATTTTGCATTCAACTTCTTTCTCTTTTTTTGTTATGTTTTTTATTTATACCTACCGACATACATAGACATTTAAGCTTTGATTGAGTTTAAACACCTTTTGTGTATGGTAAACTTTTTGATTTGCTTTGCGTTTTGTAAGAAAAATTGAAAAAAAAGCATAATTAGAGATCGCTTGTTAAAAGACCTTGAGCTTTAAATAAAAGAATAAAAAAAAACAGCAAAAAAATGAAATTTGTGTTTTTTTATAGAAAAATATTCGTAAAAGAAATTTTTTTTTTATTTTCAAAAGAAATGCAAATTAAGTCACAATTGAGAAAGCATTTTTCTTTTCTTTTTTTGGACTTTCCGAAAAGAAATAAAAAAAAAACGGTTGATAATTTTTGTTAATGATTTTGATTTCTCTGTGTATAATTTAAAATTTTGTCTTCTTCATCTTCTTCTTCTTCTGTCTTAAAATTTAAATTTTGCTTTTTTTTTTGGCATTGTAATGACGGTGACTTACAAATCTAAAAAATTTCAATACATAATCATAAATTTTTTTATTTATTTTTAAAAAGACACTTCATAATAATGAATGCAAATCCAAAAAAAATGAAAACTTTCTACGAAAGTTTTGATAGATTTCTTAATATCCACACAGTAACACATGTGTCTACACTATTATTAAGTGTGTATAAAAATAGAAATTTATAACTATAAGAATTATAATCTTTTCCTTTCTTGAAATTATTATTTATTAGCGAAAATATAAACAATAATAATCAAAGAATTATTTATTATGATTTAAAAGAAAGAATGTGTATTGTGAGAATCATAGACAAGCATGTTGATACGTCTGTAAGTATGTATGTGTAAACACCTAATTTTAGTTTTGATTATTCATTCAAAATTTTCTATATTATTATTTCGTTTTCACTATTAAATAAGGAATTACAATTAATTATTAAGTTATTTTTATAAAAAAAAATTCAGCAGTAGAAAGTTGAAATTATTGGAAATTTTAATAATATTGATATTTCTGTCCATTTGAAATAGTTTAAATTTATTTTAGTGATCAATATTCAAAAACCATTATTATGGACATATAGCATTTTAATTGTAGATAACAGTTATTGTAATTTTTTATAATCTTATAATCAAAGTAATCCCTAAATTAAAGTGATTTTTAATAATCTTTTAAAACAATTTAGTTTTAAAACAATACCTACACATTTATGCTTCAAATTTTCAACTCTTGCAGACAATTATCAATGAATATACAATATTTTATTCAGAATTTAATAGCCATTTTGAAATTATCTAGAAATAACGGGAAAATGTGCTGACCACTTTATATAGAATTCAAAATATGTAAGTATCCATGATATTCTGAATAATAAAATCTAAATGTAAAACTGAATTTTTGATTCCATGCGCTTTGACAAAAAGCAATGAAGTTTTTTACAATATTCCTTAAATTTATATAATGCCGGTTAATGTAATACTGTGATGCTAGGCCATCCAGTAATTAAAAGATAACAACACAAGGCACTACATAATATTAATACCATTTTACTGCACTTTCGCAATTAGAGAAGCTTATTTAATTATTCGTATTTGTGTTTCTGCTTTAGAAACTTCTTTTATCGGACCGTGATTATGTTAACAACAAGTCTGAAATTTGTACTGGCAATTAGAATAAGTGTTTAATACCAGTACAATCGGTTTTACAAAATTATGTTTTCTTTATAAATTTGTGATTATTTTAAATTTCAATTTAAGTATATAGAAAATTTATATTGGTTTCCGAAAATCCCCGGTATCTTTTTGCCTGTAAAAATAAATTATAAACCTAATTTATTAAAAATGTTTTAAATAAGAAAACAAAATGCAAATTAATTCACATTATTTAAGAAATTATTAATTTTATTTGATCATTTTTCGATATTTCCAGAAAGTTTTTTTAATATTTAAATGCTATTTTGTAAAAGAAAAATGATTTTATAAAAAGATATTCTAAATTTTTTTTAAAAAATATTTCATATAATTTTATTCAGTTTTCGAAACAATATTTTTTTAATTACCTTTAATCTGACATTTATTTTTTAGAAAGAAATTATGAAAAAAAGACGGCTATATCAAAGACAATAAAGATTAAAATTATAGATTAAGAAAAAGTTTAGAAAATAATAGGTTTTCAAAAATGATGAATGAAGATATTAAAAATTAAGTTGAAAGACAGAAGAAAAGAAATAAAAATACAAAGTATAACTGAAAAATATTAATAAAATAGACGACATAACAAAATAAATTAAAAAAATAAAGAGAATATTAAAACTAAATATATACAAAACAGAAATAGAGAAAAACAGTTATTAAATAAAAAAGTACGACAATATAGAAATAAAAAGAAAAAAGAAAAGAAACTGTATAAATTAGATTTACGAAAATAGTCAATAAAATTGAGAGAGTATAATGAGAAGAAGTGTTATTAGAAAAAAATTGAGAGGATAACAAGAGTAAATTTAATAAATACAAAAGAACTAGAATGTTATGACAGTAAGTTTTGGAAAGAAGATTCTTAATTAGATTGATTAGTAACAGTAGATATAGAAAAGAAAAGATTTAGAAATAAGTAAGAATAAATTAAAATATAATTAATTCCGAAATTTAAGAAAAAAGGGAAAGTAATATAGTTGTAATTGTAGTAAGATGAAATTTTATAAAATTTGAAAAAGATAAAGTAATTGAAAAAATAGAAAGATAAAAGACTAAATAATTTTTATCGTCTAAATTATTTAAGAAATAAAACATAGACTAGTTAATGAATAAAACTGAAAAGAAAGATGAAGGAAACACAGAAGTAACGTATTCTAAAACAGTAAGAAAAAAAGTTAGTGAAATAAAATATGAAAAGAATAGACGAGTAAGAAAGAAATAGAATATAATAGAACAAATAGTTAAAAGAAAAAAATTAAAGATTAAACTTAAAGAAAATTAAGAACAGAAAAAACAGAAAAAATAAATGCCTGGTTAATTTTTGTTTTAAATACATGTGGACTAGTTTCATTTATATTTTTTGTTTCCTATATTTCGTCTATATTCGTTATTAATAAATTAATTATTTTTTTTCATAAATTAGAAAATAAATTATTAAATAAATATTAAATAATTAAATCGTTTGTTTTTTTTTTTTTACAATTCATAACAAAATTTCGGCAACAATAAATTAAAAGTGTTCTCGTTTTTGTAAAAAAAATAATTAAAAAAAAAATAAAAACGCCTATCTTAACAATTTGTAAAAAACAAAATAATTCTACATACATATACAATAATCTATAATTAAAAAAAAAAATAATTTGTTAATACAAAAATTGTTTGTACTTATCGGCGACGTCTAGATGATGGTTTATATGCAGCATAAGCGGCATTATGTGAACTATATGCTCCGGCATTATCCCAACCACTACCACTTGATGCCCATCCACCGGAACCGATTGCGGCACCGACACCAGTTGAATATGTACTACCACCAACAGCTGCAACTGGTGCAGCAGCAGCACCACCACCGAAAAGACCACCTAAACTGCCTAATAATCCACCGCCACCACCTCCTAACGGACTACGTCCAGATAAACCTCCAAGACCTGATCCTAAACCACCAAATACAGCTAATGCTAAAGCTAAAATTGATACAATTAAAGCTTTTTTAGCGATGAATAAGATACCAAATAATGATGCTAATTTCAATAATGCAAATTTAGCACCTAATGCCATTAAAATTGGCATTAATTTTCTCATTAGTTTACGTTTTCTTAAACGTCCTTCAACAACTAGTTCTTTTAAATCAGATTTAACTTCATCTGGCAATGAATTTGATATTGAACGAGCTGCATTAGCAAAATTTAAATTTAATGATCTCTCTTGTAAAAATCCTGTAAACTTATCCCAGAAATAATTTTCCATAACATTATTACGACCTTCAACTGTGTGCACTGTTTCAATTTCATTGTCATGTATAGATTTACCTTGACGTACGGATTCTGGTGTCCTATCTAATGATAATCCACCAAATAATTCTATTTTTGGATTTTCAAAAAATGATTTTGCTTTCCGGAAAATCTGAAATTATTGTAAAGAAAATATTAATTAAATTGTTCTTCTCTTTATGTACTTATATAATATATAATATAAATATTATAAAACATAATTTTGTATAAAAATGTACATTATGTAAACAATTTGACTATAAAATTAATTAATGTGGTTTGAATTTTTCATAATAACGTGTATAATTTTTATGAGGTATAGATTCGGGAGTTTTGAAGTCAGTTTGTACGACTTGTAAAACAAAGTAAAGGTTTCATAAATTTTGGGTGAACATGCTGAAAATGAATAAAGCAACTAAATTTTGAAAAATTTTTGAAAATTTTGCGATACGCATTAAAAATTTTTTTTTACTCCTATTTTTTCTACAATCTTTTTAATACAAAATTGCATCAATTATTGTACAATTAAAAATTACAAAAAATTCCATAGTAGAAATATTGTTTTTGAAATCCTCTCTTTAAATAATTTTTTTTTTCGGAAATTTGCATAAATTAAGGCGTAAACAAATTTTTTAAAAGCAATAACTACCATTTGCAATAAAATTATATTAAAAAGTGAAAATAATTGATGGTAATTTATTAATTTATATGATTCACAATATTGTGTCTTAAACTGAATAAAATATGAGTCCTAATTGTTGTTGCATAACATTTAGAAATTAAGTACCAGATATTAAAATAAAATAAAATAGAACCGGAGTTTTTTGTCTGACATGAATGCGATTTTAAAATTTTAGAACTTAATTACAGTACTTGTGTGGAAAAGCTTATGGTGTTCCCATAAATATTACAAACTTGGAAATAGTTATCGTAAATGTAGAAAAATTTACTACTCTTCAACAACAATATTCAAAAAATTTTCACTATAAAACCATTAACAACACTTAATTTTATATTAATGATGCAAGTCACGGGGGTGTCTAGGAAATTTTTACTAAGAAAATATTTTATTGTTATTGCTCCATACTTAAACAACTCTTCTATTTATATTAATTATTGTAATTCACAATTTTTCATTATGACTAAATCATGGCCACATTAATAACAATATAGTCTTGAAATTTGTACTTTTCAATATTTTAATGTTCATTTCACATTTGAGAATAATTGAATTTTTTATTCATAATATACGTTAATCCTTTTTGTTTTGTTTACGTTTTTCTTTTATATTTTTCTAATTTTTCTAATTTACATTTTATTTTATAATTTTTTTTTTAAATATTTTGTAATCATACCGTTAATTGAACACAGGAAATTGAATCCTTTTCTAAACAATTTTGAAAATCATCTTTATTTACTACATTTTCTTCGGCATATACACCACTTAAAACCACTAGCACGCAAATTGGTAAGTAAAATAATTTCATATTTTCTATTTTTTTTTGTTTGTTTTTTATTATTTTTAAAAAAAATTCAATTTAAATTGAAATTTTTTTTTATATAATCATATATGTTTTGTTTTTTTTTTTTTTTAATATTTTGGCGTTATTTTTTTTAGAGTATATCCTTTTTGGTGCGTTTAATAGAGCGTTTTAAAAAAAAATTTAATTTAATTTTTATTTCTGCGGATATGTTTATTCGGATGGAACAAACTGCGATTTGACATAAACTTTAAAATTACACTGTGCTTTTAAAGACTAAAAATAATCATCTTTAGAACTGAAATTTTCCCACTGAAGATTGCGTATTCGTAAAGATTTTAAATGCGGAAGAAATGGTGAAAAGAAGAAAACAATAAAAGTACAAAAAAAAAACAAATATAAAGAAAGATGAAAAGAATAAGAAAAATAGTAAAAAAAAAAAAAGAAAACAAAAAACCATGAAACATAATAATAGAAAAGAAATGAAATCAAAAATTCATCTCTTAAGAAAATGAAAACGAAAAACGATTGTAAAAAAAACAAAAATATAGTATAGCTCCCACCACCATAGTATCATCATCACCATCATAGATGTATTAAAATCACAGCCTCCAGTCTTGAAATATATGATACTACAATAAAAAATATGTAACATCAGTGAAATGAAATCAAAGATATTTAAACGTGGAGCAAAAATCTTATATGATAACCGAAAAATAAAAATTAAAAATTCCGATAGTCAACCAAAGATTTTTAAAGATTTTTTCATATAGGTTTTATTATATGAATTATTTATTAATAAAAGTATGTTTCCACACAGGGTCGGATTAATTTTTCGCCCTTTTCAGAATTAGTATATCACAGTTTGATTTGACTTCCCCACCAGTATTTTAATTAATAAATTATCTCTTTATTTATTATTAGTCCAGTAATTTGACATTCGTCAAGTCCAATGAATCTGTCGATGTTTAATTCCATTTTAATATTTTTTTTCAATTACTTCTTTCAAAAATTTTTTGTTCGACCCACAGGTGAAATGGTAAAATGGTAATCTTTAATCGTTACGGCCATAACACATTTTGAATATGTTACGAAGTAGTTCAAAAAACTAGTTGTTGTAGCCTACTTTACTTAGCTGTGTAAACTATATGGTTCGTAGGACTGGCTTTACATAAGTACTGTATAGTAGTATACAGTTTGTATGGGAATTAATACAGATTATTAACGAATATCATTCTGGCGAATTTCAATCTGTTTTGCTGTCTTTTTAACCACCACCAGATTTTCCAAAGTTGTCTAGTTTTTAAAATCTATTAGAATCGAATTAACGGTAAATAGAAATAAGTTCTAATCTTAATGACCAACTATTAAAAGGAATTTTATTTCTATGTTCTCCATTTTATATTGTACATTTTTTATTCTAAATTTTATAAGATATAGTCCAGAACGATCTTCATAAACCACACCAATGAAAACGTCTAAGAAATATTTTTAATATTTTATTTTTATTGTTTTAAATTTAATTGATTTACGAGTTTTAAAAGCTTCCCATTTGAATGGGAATGGGTAAGAAAATAAATTGGTCATAATCATTACCTGCTAAATTTTTAGAATAAATTTGATTTGCAATTTTAAGCATAATACGAGTAATTTTCTCATTCACGAAAAATTTATGATTGTAGTGGCTTTCAAAAAATAACACCGACCCTGTGCTTTTAATAGCATTATAATATATTAGGTAAAAATATTTTCCCTTTATAGGTTGACAAGATCTTTCAACTTATAATAATTATTTTCATTTTTATCTTAATGTTCATATATATACAAAAATTTAATTGTTATCTAGATGTACATACCTTACATATGTAATACATATTCATGTAAACTTATGTTTTGTTTTTTTTTTGTTTTTTTATTTCAATATTATGCATCTTTTCACCTCACACCTATCAAAATTACATCCGCTAGCTCAGTCACATGATAATTCTGTTTTAAATTGGAATTTTTGGGAATTAATTTATTTTTATTTTTTTTGAGTTTTTTTTTGTTTTTGGGATACATAGGTGTATAAAACCTGTAAAGATAATAATTGTTACCGCGATATGTGATTAAGCACTTTTTTCTTTAACTTTTTTTTTTTGATTTTGATCTGTAATTATAGTGAAGAATTAATTTGATATTATAGAAAAGATATTGAAAGAGAAAATACATAGTTATTTTTAATTATCAATCATTAGGTTATTTGGCGCTAGATCTTACATTCGATAGCATGTATTTTGTAAAACAATATATTTTTGTTTGAGTTTCTTATTTAAATTTGGCTTTAATAGAATGCACTGAATAGAAATCGAAATTAATTTAAAAGACTTTTTATTTGCTCTATGATCAATCACCTTTAGACTTAATCTAAAAGAATATACTAAATTAAAGTTGTTACAGTGCTTTTGCTGAAGTTACAAATTAAAATATTCGTTTTATTTGTACATGTTTCGTATATGTTTTAGTCCGATTTCTAATTTTCAACCATAATCAAATGTAAACCCGGAATGCGTTTTAATTAAAGGTTCTGCCGGATTATATGTAAAATATGGAAAATTTTGATATGGAAATATCGGTAAGCTTTTTTGCTTACTTAAATATGGGTCTTTTCGTTAAATTTCAGTATTACTTAGGGATAGGCAAAGTGACTTTTTTCTTTAATGAGAGAATTTTTTTCGAATAAATTTTGTTATTTGCTATGATAAAGTTCTTGATTTATAATATTTCCAGAAGAAATATCAAAAATTTATTAATAATTATTAGATATTTAAAAATTATTAGTAGTTAATACTATTAGTTTAAGAAATTTTCAAAATTTTAATTTTCAGATTTCTAATTGTATAACTTACCAGTCGGATTACGTAACCACATATGCGTTAAATTTAAAAAAACGAAAGAGAATGAACAAAAGAGCAAATAAAACATTACTATGTGTTACGTATACATATAATATTATCTTTAAGTATATCAATTAAAAATTTCATTTATTATATAAGCATAAAATATTATTAAATTGCAATGAAAATTGTATAAATGGTGAAAAGTGTAATAAAAACCCATTTAAAATTAGATTTTTTCCACTTTTTAACAATGATTTTACGTACTGATTACCACTATACATAATATTATTTATATTTTATTATACTAAATATAACATTTATACATTATTTAATAAAATCGTGTAAGTAAATCACTATTCTTATTATTAGAATTATAGTTATTTTTGCCATTCTATACGATTGCTTTTAAAATTTAATTAAATTTTATCTTTTTAATAATTGTGCTCAATTATAATTCCTAATATAAGATTGTAATAAAAAGTTGCAAACAATATTTTATCATTGGATTCATACAGTGTTATACTGTTAATTATACAAAGTTGTTAATATTGTGTGATGAATTTTGTAGGTGAACTTGTAAAGAATCATGAATTCTTTTTTTAATATTCTATATTTCTATTAATATGAACATGTATACATTATCGCTATTAGTAATAATAATCGTAAGGGTATATTAAATTTGCCTTACCGTTTGTAACGCTATATATAGAATTAAGTATATCTTTTTGTTCAGCGCCTGAATCTGTCGATTCTTAATCGATTTAACCATGTCTGCACGTGTGTTCGCCCGCATAAGTGAAATAACAGATTGGTATTGAGATTTTGCATAAGCGAATGTGATATTGTTAGAGCTATTGTATTTGATAAAATTTGTTAAGCTGAAAAGAAGGAGCTGAAATTGTTTAGCTTCTTCTGGTAGGTGACATACAACTTGAAAAGTTATTTGGCTATACCTTTCAAACTGTTCAACCTACAGTACTGAAATTTTTGCAAAAACAAATATGGTAAAATAGCAGCTATATATTCGTTTAAAGTTGTTGGAATGTCATGGTAGGTGCCATACAACTCGAAAATCAAAAATTATATAGGGTATAGTTTTAAAAATTTGGTCAAGCAAGTTATTAGGGTTGTTATTTTTGATAAGACCGTTGAAATTTTTTAAAGCTGAAATTTCAAGTAAACGAATTTGATGATGTATGACCATCATTTTCAGTGAAACTCTTTCAAGTTGTGCAGTTTAATATGGTAATTACCATATACCTTGTATAAATTAGCACTATATATATTAAAAGCAAAAGGTTGTATAAAACTGTATGTCAATTACCCCCGACATTTAAAATCGTTTATTCGTACGGATATCTCAAAGTTGACACGATCAACTATATCCATTCTCGTTTTACATTAGTTTATCAAAAATTTTACAAAGTTTTAAATTCAAATACACACAACTTAAATCCAAATTTACGATCCAAATTTATCCATAATAGCTAAAGAAAATATAAAAAATATGAACTAGATAATCATAATGTTGTTAAAGCTTATGAATCTTCCGTGCAATACTGTATGAATTTTTATTTATTTTCTTTTAAAGTCTATTATATTTTTTATGGTGTATGGTATAAATGCAAGTCGTATGTGTTTATGCAAAATATAAAAATGTTAAAATGGTGTTCTTCATTTTTTTTTATTTCAAATGTAAAATAGTTGAAATTTAAAAGCTTCTTCATTTCGGTCAGTTTGTGATTATTAAAATTTCTAATACATTTACAATACACGCACGTGTACGTTTAAAATGTTTTCTATAATACCTTTATAAAATATGTAAAATGAAAAATTTAACTTTAATGATTAAAGATAAAACTTCTACTTTTATGTTGACTGCTTTTTCAATATTTTCTTTTGTTTTTTTTTTATAATAATTCATAGTTACAATATCATCTTGAAATTATCAACAAGCTGCTGCTTACCATCATTATGAAATTATACGCACAAAAGGAAAAATTATATTTACTTTTACATTTTTTGTTTTTTTTTTTTTTTTTTTAGGAAATGAAATTTTATTGCTTAGACGTTATGAAAATAAAAGAAAATATTAAGAAAAAAGATGAAAAAGCAAAGTATTTAATT